CTCTGTAAATCTTCACCCAAATCCTAATTAAAAAAAAAAAAAAAATCAATGTCATAGTTAAGAATTAAAAAAAAAAAATTAAAAGGATTTATCTCAAAGCATTATTTAGTTTGCAAAATGTTCACTCTGGCAATATCAGTCATGGGGCAACATGAGGGGATTCTGGGAAGATAGTGATGTCAGTGGCAGCATGTTGTGGGATCTTCCCATATCCCCCCATAAAAACACAAAGCAAGCAGACAACAACATGAAAACCTAGTACTTACACAAAACTAGCCAGTCACACGGACAAACCACAACTGCCACATGACCTGCAGGCTGTCGGCCTCTGTGCGTTGGTGGGGGGTTTGCTGCCAAGAGGGCAGTGCGGCCCCTGACAGACCAGATAGCAGCAGGCCAACTGAAAGCAGTGGGAGAAACTGGGAGGAGTTCTGCCTTGTCCAATAGCAGGGTAGGGCAGGGGTCTGCAACAAGAAGGTCTGCTGAGGCTGGAACAATCCAGACCCCATCACGATCTAGATCCCAGGAACCCAATCTCAAAATCATAAAGAAAGCCACAGAAGTGAGTACTGTTACAAAAGTCAGGACAGAGGTTACCATTACAGGGAGGGAGGGAGCTGTGAGCAGGACGGGCACAAGAGGAGTCTCTGCGGAGGTTGGGAAAGTTCTATTTCTTGACACAGGTGGCGGTTTCAGGGTGTTTGTTCTGTAATAATTCACTGGACTATATGACCGTTTAGTGTGATTTGCTGTGTGCTTTATAATACAAAGATTTAAAGAGGGTAACATGAGCAGCAGTGCTGGAGACAGGGAGGGTAAGAACGGGGACCTATCAAACCTACTCCTTCGAGACTCTCAGTTTAAGGTTCTGGCATCAGATCTAGATGATGTTCCTTTTCCTTAGCACTATGTATCTGCAGCCATTAAAATGATCAATTCAGTAAGGCACATTACTGGAACAGTTCCTTTTAACAGCAGCGTATTTTTTTTAATATGCTTTAGCTGCCAAAACTATGAGATCACAGGAGGAGTCATTTCCAGCCAAAAGTCCATGAGGAAAAGATGGATAAATGTTTAAATGATGCAGTTCAGGAATTAACGTGTGTTTATGTAAAACCATTTTAATTAATAAAGCCCTCCAAACAGTGTTGTTAGGTCTGCTTCAGTCCAGAGAAAATGAAGAGGAGGATAAACACACTATGCTTTTCTAAATTCTCCATCTGATGTGGTCCCTTGCAACTTAATTAGGGACCATCTCCATTTATTCTGGGAATAGCAGACTCCCTGTGTGTGCTTATTCCCAGCTTTTCAACGTAATTTGGACTGGTATTAAAAATTGATCCAAAACAAACAAACAAAAAAAACCCTCAAAGCCATCGAGTCAATTCCAACTCATAGTGACCCCTCCTTGGGTTTCTGAGGTGGTTATCACGATGGAAGTAGATTGCTCAGTCTTCCTTCCGAGGAGTGGCTGGTGGGTTTGAACCATCAGCCTTCTGGTTAGCAGTCAAATGTCTTAGGCACTATGCCAC